CTTACGATGAAGTCCAAACAAGTGACTGCTTGTAAGGAGTTCACCAAGCATGAGCTGCTCCTAGAAGTGGGTAAAATTGTGTGGGGTATACAGCACAGTCACAGAAAAATGGTAGCTTAGTACCATTATCAGCCACACAACCAATAAGTTTAAAATGTTTGAAAATCAATCTACTAATACCTTTTAAAGGTCACCATAGAATGGCACTAATCTGTAACTATGTAAGAATGATTTTTTTTCATCAAATTCCTTAAGTATATCTAGTTCTATGAGCCTGGATTCATAACTGCTGATTCATATATCACCAAAATTATAATAACTGATAATGCTATGACAGCGATAATGATTGTGATGGTGATAATGATAATGATGGTGATAATGAGGAGAATGATGGTGATGATGATAGTAAAAATAATGACAACAATGATGATACTGGTAATAATGAAAATAATGACAATGATGATGGTGAAGATGTTCATGACAATGATTATGGCAATGAGATGATGACAACGGTGAAGATGATGATGATATTACTTAGTTTTTAATTTTAGAATGAAATCCTAAAGACAAACCAAAGCAGTCTCTCCTGACATAAATCTATTTTAGAGAATAAAATACAAAAATAACAAAATAAAAAATACTAACAGGTGAAAAACAAGACATAGTGCATTTCACAAGCATGACAGAATAGAGGTAAAAAGTTAATGCCAATGGTAAGCAAATCTTATTCAAATCAATATTCTTATAAAAGATTAACCCACAACTCCTAGAACCATACATGATATTAAAAGGATTTTCTAAATTTTCCAAATAACAAAAAAAAAACACACACAAGAGAAATAATAAGGCCTTTCCAATGTCATCTGCACTGCTTCTTACATGAACCTGATACAAATTAGTGACATTCTACTGCTCTTATAAAATAGCTTAAGAGTTAAAAAAAAAAAACACACAGAGAGACAAACCTGATCGTCCTTGCCCTTTGAGCTATATTCTTCAATGGGCGGGTCAGATGGGCCTGCCAGTGACCCTACTTTACTGATGACCCCCAGACGAGCGCAGTGTTCCAGCAGCAAAGGGGCAGCCTTGCTCAAGAGGTCATCTACCATCTGCAGTGCCACCAGGTGACCGTCTTCATCTTCCTCATTGCCAAGGACGAGAGCAATGACCTCCACTAACTGCGAGCCCAGAAGGGTGTTGGCAGTGCTGGTACTTGCATTGATATTATTAGTGCTTGTGCTGATTGTTGTCCCCTCACCACCACACACCTGGAAGTTTACGAAGTTATGTTGATCACAGCCTAACAAATTCTATGGCCAAGGTGAATAACACATCAAATAATACATAAGGAACATAAATTCTATGGCCAAGGTGAATAACATGTCAAATGATACAAAAGGGATATAAATGTGATGAATTACCCGTACCTGATGAAGCAGTGGTGCAGGTATATAATGTACCATCTTTCTTAAAATACTAAGCGAAGCCTTCCGAACTGTGTGGACCATTGTGGCTTGGAAGGTGTGACAGAACACAGGAAGAAGACGACTGAGGTACACTGGCGCCATTTCCACATCGCCACGTGGTTCTCCAATTTCTGCCTCGCCTTCAATATTTGCACTGTTTCCCTCTTCTACTGTTTTCTTATCCTGTGAGGAGATAGTAGACTTCATCTAAGATAACAATATGAACTTGAGAGGGATGGCCACTACTAAAAAGTATTAGAGCCCTGAAAGACGACCAAAAACAACCAGACAAAAACCTGAATCTTGAATGTTTACCTTTCCATCTGCCACTACCAGCCATTCAGCTGGACTCTGCAGGATGGCTGCAACCTCTCTGTGACCTTCATCATTTCTTTCCCTTGCTTTATCTAAGGGAGTCTTCCCATCTTCATCCCGGAGGTCAGGGTTTGCACCGTGACGCAATAAAACTTTGGCTATTTGTGGGCGGCCGAAGCATGCTGCATAGTGAAGAGAGGACGATCTTTGGCCTGAAAAAAAGAAGTGTTGCAAATTTCAGTACCAGAGAGAGACAGAGCATGATAAAAAGGAATAGTCCATTTAGTGTTTAAACCAAAAATATGCAATAATTTCTGCCATTATCAAAATAATCCTTACCTTTATTAACGTCAGCACCTCTTTCACAAAGGAACTCCACCATCTCCTGAGTACCAAATGCTGATGCCCAGTTGAGGAGGGTCTGACCCACATCATCCATGAAATTCACTTCGATACCCCCACTGTCTATGGCATCTATGAGAGCATCTGTATCTTTACTTCTAATGCAGTCTATAAGCTGACGATGGGTCTTCTCTCCAGAACTGTCCATTCGCCTTAGCCCTGGCAGACGGCTTGCCACAGTGCTCATCCCTGACTTTGGCAGGGCTTTCCGCCCTTCAAAAAGCAGCACCAGCAATAGGTCTACTAAGCGCATGGTGTCCAGCACACAGCGCTCATCTCCTTGTAGGGCTTTCTCTATGGCATCAGGTAGTTCAGATCTCAACAGATTCTGAAAACAAGTTATATTATTTTAAATTGAAACCTCATTTTCATTATTTTTTTTAAATTTAGAAAACTCTCAAATGAGGTCATTTTCTAATGCTATTATTTCAATACTTTTTCATGCCTTATCAACTACTTCAAAATCAACTACATACAAACTGGTCCGAGACTAATCTACAAGTACAACTTTGCAGACATACATGAGTAATACTGGGTGAGCCTCTACAAAGTGTGGAGAGCAGGGAGATCACAGTGGAGACAGATGCAGATGTCTTTGAGTTTTCTGGCGTGGCAGCAGGTGCACCTGGAGCAGCAGCAGCAGCCCCTGGAGCAGGCTGGGGTGCTGCACCTGCCGGGAATAAACTCTATACAAACTAAAAGACGAGGACAAACTTTCTCCCTAAATACTGGGTCCTTCAACCTCCATGACCCTCACTGCAGTTACCTTTTTTTTCAAAATCATTTCCAGTGCATGAGTACCTTTAAAAATAAGTGAAATAAAAAAAAGAGCATTTGTAAAACATTCCACACATTCATAAATAGAGTCATACACCTGAAGACAAATAAAACAATCTGTAGCTGTTGCTCTTTGGGGGAAAATAAAATGTAATTCCTACATGAACATACTACACACTCATCTTAGCATCTTGGATATCAGTCGGTTATTTCCTTTTATCTACATCATAAATTTCCTCGATGAATGAGTTCCCAAAATAAACAATGAAACAGTGTCATCATCACCCGAGCACCACAAGCCATGGCATAAAACACACAGGTCAAAATATACACATTACGAACGAACAATGCGCCACACAACGCAGAACGTATAATCCCTGCCACGACTCCTTGTTCCTCATGGCATAATACACACAGGTCTCTCAGTGGAATGTGCACCCCAACTCACCAGCCAAGCGAGCTAGAAGGTGTGTAACAAGGCAGTGCTGTGCAAGGGGGGCAGGGTCCTGAGCACGGCGGGTGAACCGATCGGCCAGAGAAGCAAAACAGCGGAGAGCTCCATCTGCAACATGCTGGTCCTGAAATATATGCAAAAAAAAACATGTAATATATGTCTATAGTTGACCTACAACCGTGTACACATAAAAACAACACACAGTAAGCATATAACAGAAAGAAATTAGTCAAAAGAATAGAAAAGCGAACCAGAAAATATTACTCAGACGTAAAAGCAAATGTCACTCCTGATATTACAGAATTAGCAATTCAAAAGGACATCTGCATTAAAACAAAACAATATGACCTTGTACATAACCAAAACGGAGAGCTTCACTGCCTACTAAATGAATTACAAAATATAAATGCCAAAATACAACGGCTCTGAACAGACTGTGGTATCGTTGACCCAGAAGCGAGACAAGCGGAGGATAATAATTGATATCTTGAAATTACATGAACAATCTAACCAGGTAACATCACTCATTCAAGAACATTGAAAACAAAGCTTGGCAAAAAACAAAACAAAAAAAAACACCAACAAAAACATAAACATCATTTCAACGAAAACTTAAACCACACTCTGATGCACGAATTACGGTTTAAACAATGGAAAATATATATCAAACAGAGCAGAAAAATGGCATGAAACAATAGACTGAGATATAGGTCAGAGGTTAAGAGCTCCCTCAAAAAATTCTTAATTAAAAAATAAAATTCATAGAGAATAAATGGTCTATAATATGAGGCTAAAATCAAATCCACTGCAAAATTCTAAGAATATACTTTTTTTTTCTTCTTTCAAACTAAATTCATCTATTTTACGGATTTATTTTATCTGTTTTTAAATGAACTCCCTAATGCCACTACTGATGACAAATGCATTTATATAAACAATCTGCTAATCGTAAACGGCCCCGCGATAAACATATCTCCCACCCTGAGTACAAAGATAACAGCTACAAAAAATCAAAACAAACCAATTCCACCAAAACATAACATAAATACCAAATCCAGCAATCACAACAACGACAGCTAAGAAAAAAAAAAAAAACATCACCATCTAAAATCACACAAAAAAATCAACACCAAGAGCGCGCAACCCGAAGCGCAGCACTCGCCGCCGCCGCCCACCTCGTGCCGGAGCAGCGTGGACAGCGACTCGACGCAGGGGGCCAGGCCGGGGTCGGCGGGCTCCATCTTCCCGCACAGCCTCGAGACCAGGTGCATGGCCGAGTGCAGGGTGTCTTTGTGGACCAAGTGGCCATTGTCGCGGATGAAGGACAGGACGCAGTTCAGGCCGCCGGCTTCGAACACGGCGCCTGCCTCCCGGGTGCAAATCAGTTCCAGGACCTGTGGTGGAGGAGGAGAAGGGGCTTCCATGAGGCGAGGACAGAGGCAGAATCAAATAAATACATCCATGGATAATATCCGTTTTCTATAGGATCTAATCCCCTTTCTAAATAAATAAATAAATAATGTATTCACAGAGCCAGAAACGAAAAAAAGAAGAAGAAACGGCCGGATGTGGTCGCGAACCCACCT